TCTAGTCCGTCGCCGGTGTTTTTGGTGGCAGGGTGGGTAATTTCTATGGTATTTAAGTGGGTTTTCCCAGACCCGTAACTTCGCCCGTTCTGTGGAAGAACCGGTTGGCTGTTTTGTGGTATTAAGCGGTAGGGGTGGTGGTGTTTGTTGATGGTGCCTGACGTTTTGTTCATCTACTCCCCGCCCCCCAACTGGCCTGCCGCGTCGGCTTGGCACGGCTGCCCGAGGAAAAAAAAACACTCTTGAGGGTAGCAGCCTACACTCCCTGGCGTTTGTTCCACCTGGACTACATACAGCATGGGACAGTACCGCGCGTTTTCTTCGTTCGGTCTCTTGGTCCGCATCAACCATGTTTTTTCTACCTGAACGGTGCACGTCGGCGAAACCATGAACGGCGTCCGCCCCAGCTACGCCATCCATGGTTTCGTCGACGTGCACCGTCTGCAGCAGCTCCGGGTTGAGCATCATGCTCTGAGCAGCGGCCGTAGTGCAGCGTTGAGGTGGAACATGTGAGGTTGTTTGCGGGGGAAGGGACAGAAGAAATCGCCGCGTGGTTAAGTTTTTCGTCGTTAAGCACACGTTTGTTGGCGTTTTTCGTATCAGCAGCGAATTGTCGGGAAATTGTCGGCGATGCTTATGGCGCGCGGTTTCCCCCGGATGGGTCGCGAAAGGTGTACCACACGTCATCGAGAAAACGCCTCGGGCGAAAGCAACCAACGACAACTTGTGCACCGGCAATTGGTCTTGTCGCTTTCGATCTCGTGAGCAGCAGGGCGTGGTCGTGGCGTGCTTTGGGATGCTTGATTCTTGGTGTCCTTAGAGCGCGAATGACGCGCGTCGCGTCTGCTTTCGACGCCGTTCATGATGACAGCGGTTGCCGCAGCCACCGTACTACTCGATTCATCCATTTATTTTCTCCCTTCGTTGTGTTGTGCTGAAAAAGAGCATCTCGCACAATATTTCAAATCGCTGGTCATGACCGGTCCTCACCCTCGCTTGTTGCTGCGGTCTTACCGTGGTCCCCCGTTCTAGCCTCTTCAGCTAGCGCCAGCACTTAACAACGTAAGCCTCGAAGATTTCAGGATCGAGGCACTTGAGCACCATTTTAAGCTCGGCTTAAGAAGCCCTACACTAACTTCGATACAGCGGCCATTTGTAGCATTAACCTAGGAACCCCAGCCTCGACAAAACCTATATATATATATATATAGGTTCTTTAGTGCGAGCGTCAATTATAGTCCCGTTTTCTCCTCCTCTTTCTTCCCCCCTCCCCAGACGCGAACAAGCCTCGTCCGCCCCTTGCCCCTTGCTTTCGGCACCGACATACTCTCCACACGGACCCATCATCCACACGTTGTAGGAACCTGACCACGTGGCGTTACCGGCCATGCCTCAGAAAACGTCAATAAATATTCTCGCGTGCGCGTCACGCGCTGCGACTGACTTGCGGTATTTTTTTCGCGCATTTTGTGTTCGAATCTGTGATATTTTCTTGTCTCGTTGTTGCTGGTGGCGGTGGGGGTACATCACATACGCAGCACGAACACCATGCCCAAGTGGCCTCTCGCCCAGCCGATGCGCATGCTGGGGCACAACGGAGAGATCAACACGCTCCTGGGAAACATTAACTGGGTGAGGGCACGCGAGGGGGGGCTCGACACGTCTTGCGAGTTCGATCCTGAGGGGGATACGCAGAACTTTATCAACAACTGCGACATCCAAGGTGGGTTGTTTTCGGGACTCAAGCTCGCCTGTGAGAAACTGCGACGTTCAGGGGGAGTGTTACCAATGTTGGTCGTCAATCTTTGATGGGGTCATGCACAAGTGCACGGAGAACTGCGGCGAGGGGTACAAGACATGATTCATTGGGATGCTTGTGAGCTGCTCATCGTCTTCGCGCAACCGAAGCCGTAGTGAACGCCGCCGCCGGAACAGGAGGGCCGGCGTCCTTACACACTACCGCCGAGCGGCGTCAACTCGATGCAGGATGCAATTCAGCTCAACGAACGACTTGGTGAAACGCCAGCAACCTATCCGCGAAGGGCACCCGATCGTCGTCCCACCCGCAGTATTATGATACTGCTCGGCCAACAACTTCGCCGCCGACTAAAGCAGCAGTCGATATCTGCCCCCAAGACACGTCGTCATCGAAGTAGTGCCTGGAGAGGACAACATGGGGGATGTTTGCCTAGGAGCAAGGTTATGAAGCGTTTTTTCATGTGCTTGTAGCCGTTCAAGCCAAGCGGGGGAGAAGTGCAAGTCTGGCTTTCTGCATCACCAAACGACGGGTAATTTGTTTTTTTCTTCGGCATCGAGCGAGCCGGCCTCGCCCTCAACTCAACTGAGCTCCACGTGGAGCTCAGTTGGGTTTTGAGGGCGAAGCCGACTCGCTCGATGCTGAACGTAAATACTCCCATTTACCGGTCGTGGAGTACTTATTAAGCCGAACTTGCTTAGGCAGACGCGACACCATGGAGCTAAAGTGTCGTCCCTGCTTGGCTTGTCCGGGTACAGGCACGTGGGATAATGCGCCATGCCTTGCTCCTAGTGACACTCCCTTGTTGTCCTTACCAGGCACCACTTCGACGACGACGCGTCTTCGGGGCAGATGCCGATTGCTGTTGTAGTCGGCGAAGCTCTTGGCCGAGTCGTACGATGTTGCGGGCGGGACGGCGGTGGTGCTTCGGTCCGGCGGCTTTCGCGTAGAGGTTGCTGCCGTCGATGAAGTCGTTCGTCGAGCTGTATGTTTGCATCGAGTTGATGCCGCTTCGGTTGGGGCAACACGGGGGTGTACCGTAGGAGCAAGGTTATGACGCGTTGTCTCGTGTCTTTGTATCCGGACAAGCCAAGTAGGGGAGGTATTCAAGTTTGGCTTTCTGGATAACCAAACGACGGGTAATTTGTATTTTCCTTCAGCATCGAGCGAGCCGGCCTCGCCCTCAACTCAACTGAGCTCCACGTGGTGCCCACTTGGGTTTTGAGGGCGAAGCCGGCTCGCTCGATGCTGAAGGTAAATACCATTTACCGGTCGTGGAGTAATTATTAAAGCCGAATTTGCTTAGGCAGGCGCGACACCATGAAGTTGAAGTGTCGTCTCTGCTTGGCTTGTCCGGGTACAAGCACGTGAGATAACGCGCCATGCCTTGCTCCTAGGTACACTTGTTGTCCTTGCCAGGCACTACTTCGACGACGACGTGTCTTGGGGGAGATGCCGACTGCTGCTTTGTAGTCGGCGAAGTTGTTGGCCGAGTCGTACGATGTTGCGGGCAGGACGGCGGTAGTGCTTCGGTCCGGTGGCTTTCGCGTAGAGGTTGCTGCCGTCGACGAAGTCGTTCGTCTAGCTGTATCGTATCCTGCATCGCGTTAGTGCCGCTTCGATTGGGTGCAAGGAAGCTGGCGCTCCTGGTCTGGCGGTGGCAGTTACGCGAAGACGAGAGTAGTTATGTTGTGTAGAACAGGGGGATGCAGAGTGTGTTTTGCACAATATCCCGTCGGTTAGGTGCTTGGCGGGACGATGGGGATCACTTGCCAAAGAGCTCACCCTCTGCTGAAGCCGTCAGGAGCTGCGGCTTCCCAACAACATCGACCGACTTCCCTGGGCATCTCTCTGTCTTATCTCTGTTTCTCTGTCTATCTCTCCTGATGTTATCGTCCCTTGCTCATCCATCTCGCTCACCTGTCTCCCAGCTCTTCGCACCTTGTCTCCTTACCCCCCCCCCCTCTCGCTGTTTTTGAAAGTTTGCCATTGTCGATTTCACGCCCTGTTCTCTTTCTCCTCACCAATTCTGACTCTCGTCGTGTTCCGTCGCCTGGAACGTGCCGATTACTTTATTTTTTGTTATTGTTTGGTCACGTTGGTCACGTTGGTCACGTTGGTCACGTTGGTCACGACAATCAAGACGACGAGACCTTCGAGGCACTCGTGGACAACGGCAAGTCTGACTCGGCCAACCTGGACGCGGTCGTCGAGCTGCTGGTGCAGTCCACCAAGTCGCCCATGGAGGCCCTGATGATCATGGTGCCGGAGGCCTTCCGGTCCCAGCCTGCGCTCAACAGCAGGCCGGAGGTTCGTGTTGGGGCTTGAAGAGAGTAGGAAGACTGCCCCCCCCCCCCCCCCCCCCCCCCCCCCCCCCCCCCCCCCCCCCCCCCCCCCCCCC